CCACTCTCCCTGTAACCACTCTCCCTGTAAACCACTCTCCCTGTAACCACTCTCCCTGTAACTCCACTCTCCCTGTAACTCCACTCTCCCTGTAACCACTCTCCCTGTAACTCCACTCTCCCTGTAACCACTCTCCCTGTAACCACTCTCATTGTAACTCCACTCTCCCTGTATCCACTCTCCCTGTAACTCCACTCTCCCTGTAACTCCACTCTCCCTGTAACCACTCTCCCTGTAACTCTCCCTGTAACCACTCTCCTTTTAACTCCACTCTCCCTGTAACCACTCTCCCTGTAACTCCACTCTCCCTGTAACTCCACTCTCCCTGTAACTCCACTCTCCCTGTAACCACTCTCCCTGTAACTCCACTCTCCCTGTAACCACTCTCCCTGTAACTCCACTCTCCCTGTAACTCCACTCTCCCGTAACTCCACTCTCCCTGTAACCACTCTCCCTGTAACCACTCTCCCTGTAACTCCACTCTCCCTGTAACTCCACTCTCCCTGTAACCACTCTCCCTGTAACCACTCTCCTTTTAACTCCACTCTCCCTGTAACTCCACTCTCCCCGTAACTCCACTCTCCCTGTAACCACTCTCCCTGTAACCACTCTCCCTGTAACTCCACTCTCCCTGTAACTCCACACTCCACTCTCCCCGTAACTCCACTCTCCCTGTAACCACTCTCCCTGTAACCACTCTCCCTGTAACTCCACTCTCCCTGTAACCACTCTCCCTGTAACCACTCTCCCTGTAACTCCACTCTCCCTGTAACTCCACTCTTCCTGTAACTCCACTCTCCCTGTAACTCCACTCTCCCTGTAACCACTCTCCCTGTAGCTCCACTCTCCCTGTAACTCTAGTCTCCCTGTAACCACTCTCCCTGTAACTCTACTCTCCCTGTAACCACTCTCCCTGTAACTCTACTCTCCCTGTAACCACTCTCCCTGTAACTCTACTCTCCCTGTAACTCCACTCTCCCTGTAACCACTCTCCCTGTATCTCCACTCTCCCTGTAACCACTCTCCTTTTAACTCCACTCTCCCTGTAACCACTCTCCCTGTAACTCCACTCTCCCTGTAACTCCACTCTCCCTGTAACCACTCTCCCTGTAACTCCACACTCCCTGTAACCACTCTCCCTGTAACTCTCCCTGTAACCACTCTCCCTGTAACTCTCCCTGTAACCACTCTCCTTTTAACTCCACTCTCCCTGTAACCACTCTCCCTGTAACTCCACTCTCCCTGTAACCACTCTCCCTGTAACTCCACTCTCCCTGTAACCACTCTCCCTGTAACTCCACTCTCCCTGTAACTCCACTCTCCCTGTAACCACTCTCCCTGTAACTCCACTCTCCCTGAAACTTCTCCCTCCTAGTATCTGCGCTTATATCCCTCTCCTCCTCCCCTGCTTTATCCACATTGTATCCTTATCCCGCTACTTCCCGCCCGCTCTCTTAGTACTCTACAATATTTCTTACCATAAGAGGCGGGATCAGCGATTTAAAGCAAATTTGGGGGATTTTCTCTCATCCTCTTTTTTTCCGTGTGAAATCCTCATGTGGTTGTGCTGCTGCTCACGTAGCGAGAGCTCTTGTGGGCGAGCTCCTACCTTGAGCCGTCAGTGCTCTACAGTCTCCTCTTATTGCTCTATTGCCCGCGCTTCATGGCTGCTTGAGCGGGTGTTGGTGGTCCCTGCTACCTTTAGCAGGTGTTGGTGGTCCCTGGCTACCTTTAGCAGGTGTTGGTAGTCCCTGCTACCTTTAGCGGGTGTTGGTGGTCCCTGCTACCTTTAGCGGGTGTTGGTGGTCCCTGCTACCTTTAGCAGGTGTTGGTGGTCCCTGGCTACCTTTAGCAGGTGTTGGTAGTCCCTGCTACCTTTAGCGGGTGTTGGTGGTCCCTGCTACCTTTAGCGGGTGTTGGTGGTCCCTGCTACCTTTAGCAGGTGTTGGTGGTTCCTGCTACCTTTAGCAGGTGTTGGTGGTTCCTGCTACCTTTAGCAGGTGTTGGTGGTTCCTGCTACCTTTAGCAGGTGTTGGTGGTTCCTGCATACCTTTAGCAGGTGTTGGTGGTCCCTGTATACCTTTAGCAGGTGTTGGTGGTCCCTGCTACCTTTAGCAGGTGTTGGTGGTCCCTGCTACCTTTAGCAGGTGTTGGTGGTCCCTGTATACCTTTAGCATGTGTTGGTGGTCCCTGCTACCTTTAGCAGGTGTTGGTGGTCCCTGCTACCTTTAGCAGGTGTTGGTGGTCCCTGTATACCTTTAGCAGGTGTTGGTGGTCCCTGCTACCTTTAGCAGGTGTTGGTGGTCCCTGCTACCTTTAGCAGGTGTTGGTGGTCCCTGCTACCTTTAGCAGGTGTTGGTGGTCCCTGTATACCTTTAGCAGGTGTTGGTGGTCCCTGCTACCTTTAGCAGGTGTTGGAGGTTCCTGCTACCTTTAGCGGGTGTTGGGGGTTCCTGCTACCTTTAGCGGGTGTTGGGGGTTCCTGCTACCTTTAGCAGGTGTTGGTGGTCCCTGCTACCTTTAGCAGGTGTTGGTGGTCCCTGCTACCTTTAGCGGGTGTTGGGGGTTCCTGCTACCTTTAGCGGGTGTTGGGGGTTCCTGCTACCTTTAGCGGGTGTTGGGGGTTCCTGCTACCTTTAGCGGGTGTTGGTGGTCCCTGCTACCTTTAGCAGGTGTTGGTGGTCCCTGTATACCTTTAGCAGGTGTTGGTATCCATAATACGTCATGCTGAGCAGAATGTCTTCCTTTTAATTCATTTTCTGTGTCTACATTTCACATCTTCCCCAAACCTTGTAACCCACACAGAGAGTAATCACACTAACGTGGTGCATCACTGAGAACACCCGTAGGAGCCGTGGTTAGGATTCGAACCCTCATCACGGCTCCTACGGGATTTCTCACTTTCTGACCTGTTTCCATAGCTTGTATCACGTTACAGAAGCGTGATAGCGTGATCTTCCATAGCTCAGCTACCCTTCCCCCTTAGTTCCCTTACTTTTCCCCATTTGTTCTCTCCACTCTGCCCCTCCCCCCTTCACCATCCCCTCTCCCCTATTTACCTACAGTGTACGCTTTCCTTCACTATCCGTCACTCTTTACCTTCGCAGTGTTCCTCTTCACTGTCATTCACCCTTCTATCCTACACTATCCTCCCTTCACCATTTACCCCTTCCCTTCCCTTGCTCACTATTCCCGTCACTATCAGCCCTCACTCTTCACCACCACCTTCCTCACGACGTAGCAGATCCCAGTGCTAGGGGGAAGGTGAAACAAGAGACGATAGTCTGAGAACTATTAAGGTAAGAACAGAGGAAATAGTGAGACAAAGTCTACGGGCTCACCATAGCCCGTGCTGCTTGGAACTTTTTGTTCCAAGTAGCGAATCTTAAACAACAACAACAACAGTGAGACAACTAACATCACTAGATGAAACTAAAGCTATTGGACCAGACAATGTATCACCCTGGATGCTAAAGGAGGTGGCACAGGCCCTCAGCCTACCTCTGGCTCAGATCTTTAGTCATTCAATCGCGAGGGAAGAGTTGCCCAGTTGTTGGAAGATTGAAACTGTCTTACAGTATACAAGATACAGAGATTGGGAGGAGCTTACTACGAATCCTGATCGCTGTCCACTCAGCTGTCAGGCCCTCCGTGGGAGGGTTAGGCATAGTGCACATTTCTAGACTACGACACACTTCCGCATAAAAGGCCACTCCTCCTACTTGATAGGCAAACAAGAGTGACATGGGGCGAGAGAGTACCTAACACAGTGGGGTCAGAGAGTCGCTGTGAGGAGCGAGAGTCTGCCTGGTGCAAGAAGAGAGTCCCACAAGGATCGATACCAAGACGCTTTCTATTCCTCATTTATATTAATGACTTCACCGTGAAATTTGAGTTTTAAGTGTCGATCTTTGCTGACGATGGAGACGAATCAAGACGGATGAAGATTGTCAAATGCTTTAACATTACTTAGTCAAACTGTGGCGTTGGTCCAAGAAATGGCTACAAGATTTCAACACAAGCACGTGTAAGGTGATGAAAATGGGGTCATGAGCAAGGCCAGAAGGACGGACGGTGGACAGTGAAGCTAGATCCAGGTTTCAGCTCCGGGGCCTCGCCTCAGCTCCGGGGCTTCGCCTCAGCTCCGGGGCCTCGCCTCAGCTCCGGGGCCTCGCCTCAGCTCCGGGGCCTCGCCTCAGCTCCGGGGCCTCGCCTCAGCTCCGGGGCCTCGCCTCAGCTCCGGGGCCTCGCCTCAGCTCCGGGGCCTCGCCTCAGCTCCGGGGCCTCGCCTCAGCTCCGGGGCCTCGCCTCAGCTCCGGGGCCTCGCCTCAGCTCCCGGGCCTCGCCTCAGCTCCGGGGCCTGGCCTCACCCCACCACCCAGGCCCCGGGCCACACCGGCCAAGTTGATAGCGACCAGACCAACTGATAATTCGCTGGACGGCGGCCTCTCTCCTGGATGTTATTTACCTTTGTGGTTAGGTTAGGTTAGGTTAGGTTAGGTTCGCTGTAATATGGAGGTGATGGGTGGGTGTGTGCTCTCCCCCGCCTCCCCTCACCCTGCACGCCCTCTCCCCGCCTCCCCTCACCCTGCACGCCCTCTCCCCGCCTCCCCTCACCCTGCACGCCCTCTCCCCCCCGCCTCCCCTCACCCTGCACGCCCTCCTCCCCTCCCTCCCCTCACCCTGCACGCCCTCCCCCCCCCCCCTCCCCGCCTCCCCTCACCCTGCACGCCCTCTCCCCGCCTCCCCTCACCCTGCACGCCCTCTCCCTCGTCGTGATGATCAAGATGGTAATGGAGGTAATTTAGGTGTCGATATTTCTGTTAATTAAGACGTGGAGGAAGAGAGGGGGAGAGAGAGAGAGAGAGAGAGAGAGAGAGAGAGAGAGAGAGAGAGGGAG